TAATAGCCACAATAATAAAGTAACTAGTAGTCACAATAATAAAGTAACTAGTAGCCACAATAATAAAGTAACTAGTAGCCACAATAATAAAGTAACTAGTAGCCACAATAATAAAGTAACTAGTAGTCACAATAATAAAGTAACTAGTACACAATAATAAAGTAAGTAGCACAATAATAAAGTAACTAGTAGCACAATAAAAAGTAACTAGTACACAATAATAATAACTATAGCACAATAATAAAGTAACTAGTAGCCACAATAATAAAGTAACTAGAAGCCACAATAATAAAGTAACTAGTAGTCACAATAATAAAGTAACTAGTATCACAATAATAAAGTAACTAGTAGCCACAATAATAAACTAATAGCCACAATAATAAAGTAACTAGTAGTCACAATAATAAAGTAACTAGTAGCCACAATAATAAAGTAACTAGTAGTCACAATAATAAAGTAACTAGTAGTCACAATAATACAGTAACTAGTAGCCACAATAATACAGTAACTAGTAGCCACAATAATACAGTAACTAGTAGTAACAATAATAATCTAATAGCCACAATAATAAAGTAACTAGTAGTCACAATAATAAACTAATAGCCAAAATAATAAAGTAACTAGTAGCCACAATAATGAAGTGACTAGTAGCCACAATAATAAAGTAACTAATAGTCACAATAATAAAGTAACTAGTAGCCACAATAATAAAGTAACTAGTAGTCACAATAATAAACTAATAGCCACAATAATAAAGTAACTAGTAGCCACAATAATAAAGTAAACTAATAGCCACATATAATAAAGTAGACAATATAGTAATCACAATAATAAAGTAACTAGTAGTCACAATAATAAAGTAACTAGTAGCCACAATAATAAAGTAACTAGTAGCCACAATAATAAACTAACTAGTAGCCACAATAATAAATAACTAGTAGCACAATAATAAATATACAAAAATAGTCACAATAATAAACTAATAGCACAAAATAAAAATAGAAGTAATAGTAGTCACAATAATAAAGTAACTAGTAGCCACAATAATAAAGTAACTAGTAGTCACAATAATAAACTAATAGCCACAATAATAAAGTAACTAGTAGTCACAATAATAAACTAATAGCCACAATAATAAAGTAACTAGTAGTCACAATAATAAAGTAACTAGTAGCCACAATAATAAAGTAACTAGTAGTCACAATAATAAATAATAGCCACAATAATAAAGTAACTAGTAGTCACAATAACAAAGTAACTAGTAGCCACAATAATACAGTAACTAGTAGCCACAATAATAAAGTAACTAGTAGCACAATAATAAAACTAATAGCACAAAATAAAGTAACTAGTAGTCACATAATAAAGTACTAGTAGCACAATAATAAAGTAACTAGTAGTCACAATAATAAAGTAACTAGTAGCCACAATAATAAAGTAACTAGTAGTCACAATAATAAAGTAACTAGTAGTCACAATAATAAAGTAACTAGTAGTCACAATAATAAGTAACTAGTAGCCACAATAATAAAGTAACTAGTAGCACAATAAACTAATGAAAGTAACTAGTAGCCACAAATAATAAAGTAACTAGTAGTCACAATAATAAAGTAACTCGTAGCCACAATAATAAAGTAACTAGTAGTCACAATAATGAAGTAACTAGTAGCCACAATAATAAAGTAACTAGTAGTCACAATAATAAAGTAACTAGTAGCCACAATAATAAAGTAACTAGTAGTCACAATAATAAAGGAACTAGTAGTCACAATAATAAAGTAACTAGTAGTCACAATAATAATAGTACAATAGCTAGTAGTCACAATAATAAAGTAACTAGTAGCCACAATAATAAAGTAACTAGTAGTCACAATAATAAAGTAACTAGTAGTCACAATAATAAAGTAACTAGTAGTCACAATAATAAAGTAACTAGTAGTCACAATAATAAAGTAACTAGTAGTCACAATAATAAAGTAACTAGTAGTCACAATAATAAAGTAACTAGTAGCACAATAATAAAGTAACTATATAGTAGTCACAATAATAAACTAATAGCCACAATAATAAAGTAACTAGTAGCCACAATAATAAAGTAACTAGTAGTCACAATAATAAAGTAACTAGTAGCCACAATAATAAAGTAACTAGTAGCACAATAATAAAGTAACTAGTAGCCACAATAATAAAGTAACTAGTAGTCACAATAATAAAGTAACTAGTAGTCACAATAATAAAGTAACTAGTAGCCACAATAATAAAGTAACTAGTAGCCACAATAATAAACTAGTAGCCACAATAATAAAGTAACTAGTAGTCACAATAATAAAGTAACTAGTAGTCACAATAATAAAGTAACTAGTAGCCACAATAATAAAGTAACTAGTAGTCACAATAATAAAGTAACTAGTAGCCACAATAATAAACTAGTAGCCACAATAATAAAGTAACTAGTAGTCACAATAATAAAGTAACTAGTAGTCACAATAATGAAGTAACTAGTAGTCACAATAATAAAGTAACATTAGTAGCCACAATAATAAAGTAACTAGTAGTCACAATAATAAAGTAATAGTAGCCCACAATAATAAAGTAACTAGTAGCCACAATAATAAAGTAACTAGTAGTCACAATAATAAAGTAACTAGTAGTCACAATAATAAAGTAACTAGTAGCCACAATAATAAAGTAACTAGTAGCCACAATAATAAAGTAACTAGTAGTCACAATAATAAAGTAACTAGTAGTCACAATAATAAAGTAACTAGTAGCCACAATAATAAAGTAACTAGTAGCCACAATAATAAACTAGTAGCCACAATAATAAAGTAACTAGTAGTCACCAATAATAAAGTAACTAGTAGTCACAATAATATAAGTCATAACTAGTAGCCACAATAATAAAGTAACTAGTAGTCCACAATAATAAAACTAGTAGCCACAATAATAAAGTAACTAGTAGCCCACAATAATAAAGTAACTAGTAGTCTAAAACATAATAAAGTAACTAGTAGTCACAATAATAAAGTAACTAGTAGTCACAATAATAAAGTAACTAGTAGCCACAATAATAAAGTAACTAGTAGCCACAATAATAAAGTAACTAGTAGTCACAATAATAAAGTAACTAGTAGTCACAATAATAAAGCAACTAGTAGTCACAATAATAAAGTAACTAGTAGCCACAATAATAAAGTAACTAGTAGTCACAATAATAAAGTAACTAGTAGTCACAATAATAAAGTAACTAGTAGTCACAATAATAAAGCAACTAGTAGCCACAGTAATAAAGTAACTAGTAGCCACAGTAATAAAGTAACTATTTGTCACAATAATTAGTACACTATTCCACACTAAGTAGGAGCCTAATAATAATGTTCTGACGAAAATACTGATATTCAATTCAATTCAATTGAAAGTTTATTCTCTATAAGGATTACAATGCTGAGTTTACAGAGTTTGGTTATTGTGTGGTTTACATGTAGTAAAATAATGATTACAGAGTGTACCACTAGAACATAAGACTGTGTTACAGACCGAGCTTTTATTGTGACAACTTTTCGCTCTGTAAAGAGAACTTTATCATCACTTGATCAAAGTTATATGCGGAGCGAAACGTTGTTTCAACAAATAGTTATCGTTATCAATTTAAGCGCTAAACCCGTACGGATCATGCATCTCTGCCGTTGCTCCCCAACAAGTTTCTTACATGACCCGTGCGGTTTTCTTTTCTGGTTCACACGGGAGGTCATGTTTGATCCCAGGGGAAAGGTAGCTCCAGTTCCTTGGATCAAAAGCCCTCTACCAGCCTCAGCACAAAATTCCTCCTCCCCTTGAAGGTCACGCCGACACAGGATCACCGGCTTATGAAGATCAAGTATTCTCATCTTGCCACATAAGTTCAGGGGAAGCTTGCCACAGGTCCGCTGGCAAACAACAGTGAAAGTTCCTTTCAAAAAGGTGCTCAGTTGTGACTTCCAGTGCCATGCCTTAACCTGGACGACCTTCACTCGAGGCAGTGAAAGTGGTCCTAGTACACACCTGGGAGAAAGGTGAGAAGAAAGTGATTTTCTCTTGAGTCCGGTGTAAGGGGTACTTAAAGTGATGAAAAACCGTGAGCACTGCGCAGCTGATGATGATGATGATGAAGGGGGTCTATCATCCTGGTGGTTAGGATACACATGATAATACGATAACGGTATGATTATAATGCCAATGATGAGTATGGTGGTGATGTGGATGAATATAATGATACTGATCTGGTTAGTGATCCCGACTTATCCCATCTGATTGCGAAGCTACAGACCCGTAGTTCACACAGTGTCTAAGGAATGGAAGGTAAGCAAGTTTAACATCAGGAAGAGGAAGAACTTCAAATTTCACGAAATAAGGCTTCCCCAGCATCAACACTTCCCCCCTCCCTTTGAAGAGACCCAGATTGTAAAATATGAAAGTAAACTAGAAAGGCTGGAGCCACGGGGATGCTGTTAGAATAACGAGAAATGTGGACCATGGAAGGAGCAACATGGACCATGGAAGAAGCAACGTGGACCATGGTAGGAGCAACGTGGACCATGGTAGGAGCAACGTGAACCATGGCAGGAACTTTAACACTACCTGAATTCTTGAAAAAGAAACCCTTATGAGTAAAATAAGAAGTCTTTTATCCTATGTGGTGTTACGCTGACACTCGACCACACTTGGTACTCAATCTTTCTCACTCTAGTTGTCGTAACTAGAACACCGGAGGGCTTTAACAATACAGTTTTTTGTACTGATGAAGTCCCTGGTGGGTGAAAGGCTTCCTTATTAAATGTCCTAGTAACCGCATATGTCGTTCTTACATACTTGTCGGTGTTAATCACTATTTGTAATTACAGGGATGAGAGTTTCTCATTTTCGTGAGTGAGTGCCCATGCCGTTTTCTGATATAGGGATGATACCTTAGTGACAGGATAGCCATTTTCGTTACAGTGAAAGGTGATGCAGTTAAAACTCACTAGAGGAGTTGATCTGTTCGACGAGGTAGAGAAGGAGGTGATCACTGACGGTGCTGGAGATGGGATGAGAAGAAGGGCTCACGTCCCGTCTTTGCATCTTGGAGGAGGAAGAGATCAATTCCCGTCGCCGTCGACCCCCCCAGGAGTGCCACCCGCGGGTGGACATGGGTCGAGCTTCCCTGGGGAAGTCCCTTTCGATGATGGGCTCCAGCTCCAGGGACCGGGACCTCTCGTATTCTGTGTAGATGGTGTTCCTCAGCGGTGTTCCTTCACTCGAGAAGTCCTGTCAAAGAGAGAGCAGGAGTGAGAGTGAGGCAGTCAAGACCTCTGGTGTGTGAAGTACAGCATTTAAATTTCGGAAAAGAGAACAGAAAATGAATCAAAACTGAGGGAGGTAACTCTGAGGCGTCATCCTAAGAAAAGGCTCTAGGAGTAGATATCATACCAAGTCTCGAAGTACTACATATTCAGAGAACTATCTTCGTTCAGGATGTTCCATACAGATCATGACACTATACATTATGTGCATTAGACCAATCCTAGAGTATGTAGTAACAATGAAGAACCTTCACAAATCTAAGAACAGAGACTTGTTCACAGGTTGGTATTGGAGACATAGGCGCAAGAACTTAGTTAAAACTTACAAACTAAACCCCGGAACGGGTGGGGTTGGAACCCATGTCAAGAGACCTAAAACTCCAGGCCAGAACATAAGCCACTCGGCTTACGTTCCTTGGTTTATCTGCAATCGTTTTATTACGATTTCGTGAGCTACCAACTAAATCTACCGACGGTAGAGAACTGCAGAACAAGAGAGGAATGGGCATGCCATGATAAAATCTTGCAGGGGATCAAGAGGGAGACAAGGCCAGACTGACAGGGTAGGAGTCACCACCAATTAACTATAATGTCTCTCATTCAAGGTGTCAAGTTTTGTCTTGAATTTGAATTTGTGGCACTGAGTGCCTAAATTAACTTGCAGCTCAGGCAGCATTAATTAAAATTGAAAGCTGAAGCTGAACTTCAAGATGTTACATTTATTATATTTATTTTGAAGCGATAAATTCGTACGGGTTATGCAGTGCGTTGGGAACGGGGATAATCAGATTTGATCTGAGGTAGGGAAGCATCACTACTTCCTTGGATGAAGAGCTCTTCTCTAGTATTATGGCAATCTTGAAGGATTACGTACAGCTGAGTTAGACACAGACATCACTCTTGATATTATGCCAAGAGCCAACTGACCTCACTGAAAGGCACTTTGAATAATTTTAAGTTATAGAATAGACAGGTACACGAGTAGAAATCGTTGACTGTGAGTGGGTCTGTTGCAGTGTTCCTCTCTCATGTTCTTAAACCATATCAAGAGATAACAAGTACAGCAGACCCAGAGTCCTAAGTAAGTTATACGTTAGAAAAAAGTGGTATACGGAATATTTCATACAACTCTCCACTCACCAGACACTTGCCGTTGAGGCAGTAGGAGGCGGTGGAGGAGGAGGGTGTGTTAACGTGACTCCCTCTGGAACAATCAGTACCGAAAGGGAACCATCCCTCCCGCCCGTTAACGCGATAAAACCGGTAGTTGAGTACAGAGTCCTGGCACGCCACCGTGCACGACCTGTCCGGGTCCTCTGTAGGAAGAAAGTTTTTAAGTTTGTGTACATAACATATAAACATATTTTTACTGTGATTTGAGATCACTCGCATGTTATGGCCAAATATAAACTGTAGATTTAACTTAGAATAATCCTTCAGCCAAACTAAGTTAGGAAACTGAAAAGCCCGTAGGGGTAATACAATACCTGGGAAATGAAAATTAATCAGGTTTGATCCATGAAAGGGGACTCTCAAATTCTTTGGATTACTTATCCTTCACTAGCATTAATTAAGGAACCCGCCCCCCCTTCACCCTTTTAATATAAGAGAGACCATGATCATTGTGGGTCATGTGAGAATAGAGGATGAAAAGAAACAGTTGTAGGAATTAATAATTTTGTACTTACTAAATAAATCAGTTTCGACTAGTATTATAGATGTATGGTGCGTGTCTACTCTTATCCCTCACATATCGACCGTTGTTAAGGTCTGGGACGGTGGTGTTACTGACCTTTAGTACTGGCCAGCTGCATGCCCACTCCAGACAGCTGGTCCACCTCCGTCTTAAAGCGGCCACACACTTCACTTGCGTACTCAAAAGTTGACTTCAAGCGATGACAGTCCTGTGGAACAAGGGTTTAGATACAAATCACTGCACGAGGACCATTTAACCAACACCTAAATATTTCCAAAATACTACTTAAACATTTACGCAACAATTTTACCTGGAGGGTAAAGGCGGTACTGTGGTGCGCGTGCGAGTACTCACCTTGTTGTGGCTGAAGGGGCGCATCGCGGCTCTTGGACATAACTACCTTTCGCTTTCACTGATTCATTACCTCTAGGGCAATATCTTACCTGTTTAAATTTAAAGACTTTCGTCTGCACATGAGTCATTAAGCTGCAATATATTTATACACTAACCTTACAATTACTTCAATCCTACTACAGATATTTAAGATATTCACTTTTTTTTTTTACACGTCGGCCATTTCCCACCGAGGCAGGGTGACTCGAAAAGAAAGAAAACTTTCACCATCATCTTTTATATGTACACATTATTAACACTAAATTTAGAAAAGGCATATGCCAGGGTGGAAAGGGGGGAAATGTGGCAGATGTTGCAGGTGTATGGTATAGGAGGTAGGTTACTGAAAGCAGTGAAGAGTTTTTACGAGGACAGTGAGGCTCAGGTTAGAGTATGTAGGAGAGGGAGATTATTTCCCAGTAAAAGTAGGCCTTAGACAAGGATGTGTGATGTCACCATGGTTGTTTAATACATTTATAGATGGAAAGAGGTATGGGGTTAAAAGATAAAGAATCAAACACAAAGTGGGAGTTGTCACAGTTGCTCTTTGCTGATGACACTGTGCTTTTGGGAGATTCTAAAGAGAAGTTGCAGAGGTTGGTGGATGAATTTGGTAGGATATGTAAAAGAAGAAAATTAAAAGTGAATATGGGAAAGAGTAAGGTCATGAGGATAAAAAGATTAGGTGATGAAAGATTGGATATCAGATTGGAGGGAGAGAGTATGGAGGAGGTGAATGTATTCAGATATTTAGGAGTGGACATGTCAGCAGATGGGTCTATGAAGGACGAGGTGAATCACAGAAATGATGAGGGGAAAAGGGTGCGTGGTGCACTTAGGAGTCTGTGGAGACAAAGAACTTTGTCCGTGGAAGCAAAAAGGGGAATGTATGAGAGTATAGTTGTACCAACACTCTTGTATGGGTGTGAAGCATAGGTGAAGGCTAGAGGCAGTGGAGATGTCATGTCTGAGGGCAATGTGTGGTTAGTTACCATTTGCTCCTAGGCACATGTCGATTAGACACTAGGCCTGTTGTATGTGTATGCACATGTGTGTGTGTGTGTGTGTGTTAGTTAGTTAGTTAGTTACCATTTGGTCCTAGGCACATGTCGATTAGACACTAGGCCTGTTGTATGTGCATGCGTGTGTGTGTGTGTGTGTTGTGTGTGTGTGTGTGTGGTGTTGTGTGTGTGTGTGTGTGTGTGTGTGTGTGTGTGTGTGTGTGTGTGTGTGTGGTGTGTGTGTGTGTGTTTGTGTGTGTGTGTGTGTTAGTTACCATTGGTCCTAGGCACATGTTGATTAGACACTAGGCCTGTTGTATGTGCATGCACATGTGTGTGTGTGTGTGTGTGTGTGTGTGTGTGTGTGTGTTAGTTACCATTTTGTCCTAGGCACATGTCGATTAGACACTAGGCCTGTTGTATATGAGTACGTGTGTGTGCGTGTGCGTGTGTGTGTGTGTGTGTGTGTGTGTGTGTGTTTGTGTTTGTTTGTGTGTGTGTGTGTGTGTGTGTGTGTGTGTGTGTGTGTGTGTGTGTGTGTGTGTGTGTGTGTGTGTGTGGTGTGTGTGTGTGTGTGTGTGTTAGTTACCATTTGGTTACCATTTGGTCCTAGGCACATGTCGATTAGACACTAGGCCTGCTGTGTGTGCATGCGTGTGTGTGTGTGTGTGTGTGTGTGTGTGTGTGTGTGTGTGTGCATGTATGTGTGTGTCTGTGTTAGTTACCATTTTGTCCTAGGCACATGTCGATTATTCTACCACTTCACCTGTCTAGACTAAAGGACTCCAATGGAAATAAGTCACTTCCTGACTTTTTTTGGGGTTATCCTAGTTCTCTCCACATATGCTGATATGTATGATAATTCTGTGTAACTGTATTTGTGTATACCTGAATAAACTTACTTACTTACTAATCTGTAAGTACAGTGGAGCCTCAAATTTCGAACGTATCGCTTATCAAACTCCTCGAAAATCTACCGCTTTTTTCAAACCAACTTTGTCCCTATTATCGAACTCGCCCCTATTTTCAAACCGCCGGGTACTGGACCTGTCCACCAGCCCGCTCTGTCCGCATCCCTGCGCAGGTGCCTCGAGCCAGTCTGTGGTGTGAATATAATGCAGAGAATTCGTAGTTCAGAAATTAGGAGAAGGTGTGGGATTACCAAAACTATTATCCAGAGGGCTGAGGAGGGGTTGTTGAGGTGGTTCGGACATGTAGAGAGAATGGAACAAAACAGAATGACTTCGAGAGTGTATAAATCTGTAGTGGAGGGAAGGAGGGGTAGGGGTCGGCCTAGGAAGGGTTGGAGGGAGGGGGTAAAGGAGGATTTGTGTGCGAGGGGCTTGGACTTCCAGCAATCGCGCGTGAGTGTATTTGCTAGTGAATGGAGACAAATGGTTTTTAATACTTGACGTGCTGTTGGAGTGTGAGCAAAGTAACATTTATGAAGGGGTTCAGGGAAACCGGCAGGCCGGACTTGAGTCCTGGAGATGGGAAGTACAGTGTCTGTACTATGAAGGAGGGGTGTTAATGTTGCAGTTTAAAAACTGTAGTGTAAAGCACCCCTCTGGAAAGACAGTGATAGAGTGAATAATGATGAAAGTTTTTCTTTTTCGGGCCACCCTGCCTTGGTGGGAATCGGCCGATGTGTTAATAAAAAAAATAAATTATTAACATTGTATCCATATCTGAAAGGCTGACGGAACGAATTTGGAAGCGTAGGTAAAATGAAATTAAAAGTGAACATAGTGGCAACCTACCAGAGTGGCTGGACCGCAGGTCTAAGAAAGTTACAACCTACCAGGGTGGCTGGACTGCAGGTCCAAGGGAGTTACAACCTACCAGAGTGGCTGGACTGCAGGTCTTAGGAAGTTAGAACCTACCAGAGTGGCTGGACTGCAGGTCCAAGGGAGTTACAACCTACCAGAGTGGCTGGACTGCAGGTCGAAGGGAGTTGCAACCTACTAGAGTAGCTGGACTGCAGGTCCAAGGGAGTTGCAACCTACCAGAGTAGCTGGACTGCAGGTCCAAGGGAGTTGCAACCTACCAGAGTAGCTGGACTGCAGGTCCAAGAGAGTTGCAACCTACCAGAGTAGCTGGACTGCAGGTCCAAGGGAGTTACAACCTACCAGAGTGGCTGGACTGCAGGTCTTAGGAAGTTAGAACCTACAGAGTGGTGGACTGCAGGTCCAAGGGAGTTACAACCTACCAGAGTGCTGGACTGCAGGTCCAAGGGAGTTGCAACCTATAGAGTAGCTGGATGCAGGTCCAAGGGAGTTGCAACCTACCAGAGTAGCTGGACTGCAGGTCCAAGGGAGTTGCAACCTACCAGAGTAGCTGGACTGCAGGTCCAAGAGAGTTGCAACCTACCAGAGTAGCTGGACTGCAGGTCCAAGGGAGTTACAACCTACCAGAGTGGCTGGACTGCAGGTCTTAGGAAGTTAGAACCTACCAGAGTGGCTGGACTGCAGGTCCAAGGGAGTTACAACCTACCAGAGTGGCTGGACTGCAGGTCCAAGGGAGTTGCAACCTACTAGAGTAGCTGGACTGCAGGTCCAAGGGAGTTGCAACCTACCAGAGTAGCTGGACTGCAGGTCCAAGGGAGTTGCAACCTACCAGAGTAGCTGGACTGCAGGTCCAAGAGAGTTGCAACCTACCAGAGTAGCTGGACTGCAGGTCCAAGGGAGTTACAACCTACCTGAGTGGCTGGACTGCAGATTTGAATGTTCTTGTTAACTCCGGTACATCCCCAGCTCTGGCACTTCCGGCTCACCAACTGGATGCCCTTCGCAGGCGTCAGACAGCTGCAAGAGTGAGAGACGAGGGAATAGGGAGAAGATAGTATGTTAGCGGAAGAGAGAGACAGAGACGAGACAAGCTGGGTTGAAAGAAAGAAAGTGGAAGAAAGGAAGAAAGGAAAGAGTGTAAGAGAGGCAGGAGACAAAGTATCCTCTGCGAGGGACCAATATGTCGTGGACACAGTTTTCATCTACCAACTTATAACTTGAGAACGCCTCATACAACCTGTGTTAGCGTTTCTTCACTATTGTACTGTAACTTGGTAGAGGTTCAGGCCACGACTGGCATGAGCAAGTGACCGGATAACTTTATATCGACCATTCCTGAGTTTGATTTCCATGTGATACCTTCAGAAACCCTCGTCGGATCAAACTTCAAACCTTTAACATTGTTACCTTCTACTCAGAAGGTTGGAACTGTTATTAGAGTTTGGGGCGAAAATTTGACAGTTGAAACAGTATAACATGTATAACGTGCACTGAGTAGGCCTCTTCTGAAGAGGCATATCTATGAAAATTATGATGACTTTTGCGTTTAAGCTGTATGGGCGGAGTTGTCTCTATTTAATATTTTAGTTACCAAACCTGGAATTGTTGGGATGTGTGCAACAACTGGAGAATGCGTCTTGTGATCGGATTCAAACTTTACAAACTAGTGTATATTACTTAGAGAAAGGTTTGGATTTATTCTGGGATGAGTGGATGGCAATTTTCCAATTTTATTGAATTTTGAAAATTGCCATACTGATTTTCACAAAATTTGTGAATACTTAATCAGATCGGCTTCAAACCTTCAATACTAATAACCTGAGAATATAACTTCTGAGTGGCTTCAAAACGAAATCCTGGTGTATTCTGGGATATTGGTCTCCGTGCGATACCTGGAGAATGCCTCTTCTGATAGTCTTTAAACTTCTAAAGTGGTGTATTTTAATGGACGATCTGAATTAATTTTGGGCTGTGTGCCATTTTTATTGAAGAATTTGAGATATTAATTAACGTAATAACCTGTTAATGTCTCTTTCGGTTGGCTTCAAATCTTCAGTGATGTTTAACTGCATAAGAAAGTCATGTTTAACGCTGTGCAGTTCATTCTGCGTGCACGGAGGTGGAGAGGGTTGGGTTTACACAACACGGGGATACCTTTCTCTGATTGCGCAGCAACCCAAACATCTAGTCGGAGGGTAAGAGACAAGGAAAAGAGAGAGAATATTACTGGAGGCAAGGGATAGAAGACAGGGAGAAGACAGAGGGTGTTACTGGAGAAAAGAGATAGAAGACAGAGAGGAGACAGATGGTATTACTGGAGTAAAGAGATAGAAGACAGAGAGGAGACAGATGGTGTTACTGGAGGGTAAAAGAAAGAAAAGACAGGCAGAAGACAGATGGTGTCACTGGAGAGTATTTTAAACAGTGGGAGAGGAAGACAGAAGAGTGTGCGGCAGAAACACACATATTAAACAAAATACACACATTTAAAAATACGTTAACAGAAGCCAAGGAAAAGAGAAAAACAACAGAAAACCAGGAAAAAAGACCAGGAAAATGGGAAGAGGAATAAGAGAAAACAGAAACAGAGTGAAACAATTATTTTGCTCAAATATTAGGAGAAAAGCTCATCATTCTCTCCTCTCTCTCCTCACTCATATCAATATATAAACACACACAATTGTGTGGAATTTAATGGTAATAACAGCAAAATAAACATTAAAATTCCCGTACCCTAAAAACTCATAACATTAAACCATATTAAATTTCTCATAAAGTTCCCGGGGTCTCGCAACACCCCGTGTTCATAAAAAATAATAAACGAGGATACTGTTAGAGTACGAGTGTGGGAGGAGGCATCAGAGGGGAGGCTCAGAGGATGGGCCTACACAAGTTGGGATTGTAGAAAGCATGGAGAAGTGATCCAAATTTTTGCAATGAAATAGTGAAAAAAGACAAACTTTAATTGGAATAATTCTAGCTCTGTGGTGTGGCTGTCAAGTGATGTTATAAGACTGTCAAGTCCAAACAGTGAAGTCTTGTCCAGTAAGAAGTTGTTTGCATCGTGTATTTACACGAAATTTAACAGAAATGCACTGAACACACAACATGCCCCACAGAGTGATCGCCCACTTAATATAAAAGCACTGGATGATGCCAACGGATTTGTTAATGTTAGCAAAAATTAAAAAAAAAAAAAATCATGCACTCAGGGAGAGGAATCTTGAAAGTGTCAGTCTCACGACCATCCTAGTCCTGAGAACGTGACCTACCAAGAAGATCCTTCATGAAAGTGAATGCAAATGAGTGAAACTGACGAATTCCAAAAAACGACGACACTTGCATGAAACTGCAAGATGTTTTATTAGAGAAAGATGATCTGAATAGCTTAGGTTAGGACAACAACTCTTAATCCTGTAAATGACACATTTAACTAATAAATGTAACTTACGATTTTTCGGACTATTCCTCTGCTACTAAATAATAATTTTTATTTGACTAAGTTATGTAGTGATCCTATGTTTTAGAAGAGGAGTAAAAAAAAACATGGGGACACTGTACCCCTATCTGCAGCATCTGTACCCCTCCTGCAGCACCTGTACCTCCCGCAGCACTCTGACTACATACCATGAACGGCAGTGTAGAGGCGGGCTCATGGTCCCCATTGAGGTTCTTTATGTCTGATGGGGGCGACGTAAGGTGTAGTGGTTAGGCACTATCCAGTATCCTGGCCCAGGGACGATGGTGTCCGGACTCCTACGTCTGGTCGACAGTGAGGGGTCAGCACGTTTACAGGGTCTTTAGACTCACATGCGAACTCCTGAAAAAAACAAAAAGACACCTAGACCCCAAACACTTCTTTTCATTGGTAAAAAGAAGACAAAAAGCGAAAGCGGCAAGATTAAAAGTGATGATAGTGGAAGGAGTAAAAGGAATATTTTATTTATCAAACTCTGATGGGGAGAGACAAGAGGCAGAGATGGAGGAGAGGCAAGTGTCAGAGATGGAGGAGAGACAAGAGGCAGAGATGGAGGAGAGACAAGAGGCAGAGATGGAGGAGAGACAAGAGGCCAGAGATGGAGGAGAGACAAGAGGCAGAGATGGAGAGAGACAAGAGCAGAGATGGAGAGAGAGACAAGAGCAGAGATGAGGAGAGACAAGAGGCAGAGATGGAGGAGAGACAAGAGGCAGAGATGGAGGAGAGACAAGAGGCAGAGATGGAGAGAGACAAGAGGCAGAGATGGAGGAGAGACAAGAGCAGAGATGGAAGAGAGACAAGAGGCAGAGATGGAGGAGAGACAAGAGGCAGAGATGGAGGAGAGACAAGAGGCAGAGATGGAGGAGAGACAAGAGGCAGAGATGGAGGGAGACAAGAGGCAGAGATGGAGGAGAGACAAGAGCAGAGATGGAGGAGAGACAAGAGCAGAGATGGAGGAGAGACAAGAGGCAGAGATGGAGAGAGACAAGAGGCAGAGATGGAAGAGAGACAAGAGGCAGAGATGGAGGAGAGACAAGAGGCAGAGATGGAGGAGAGAAAGAGGCAGAGATGGAGAGAGACAAGAGGCAGAGATGGAAGAGAGACAAGAGGCAGAGATGGAGGAGAGACAAGAGGCAGAGATGGAGGAGAGACAAGAGGCAGAGATGGAGGAGAGACAAGAGGCAGAGATGGAGGAGAGACAAGAGGCAGAGATGGAGGAGAGACAAGAGGCAGAGATGGAGGAGAGACAAGAGGCAGAGATGGAGGAGAGACAAGAGGCAGAGATGGAGAGAGACAAGAGCAGAGATGGAGGAGAGACAAGAGGCAGAGATGGAAGAGAGACAAGAGGCAGAGATGGAGGAGAGACAAGAGGCAGAGATGGAAGAGAGACAAGAGGCAGAGATGGAGAGAGACAAGAGGCAGAGATGGAAGAGAGACAAGAGGCAGAGATGGAAGAGAGACAAGAGGCAGAGATGGAGGAGAGACAAGAGGCAGAGATGGAGGAGAGACAAGAGGCAGAGATGGAAGAGAGACAAGAGCAGAGATGGAGGAGAGACAAGAGGCAGAGATGGAAGAGAGACAAGAGCAGAGATGGAGAGAGACAAGAGGCAGAGATGGAAGAGAGACAAGAGGCAGAGATGGAGAGAGACAAGAGGCAGAGATGGAGAGAGACAAGAGGCAGAGATGGAGAAAGACAAGAGGCAGAGATGGAAGAGAGACAAGAGGCAGAGATGAGGAGAGACAAGAGGCAGAGATGGAAGAGAGACAAGAGGCAGAGATGGAGGAGAGACAAGAGGCAGAGATGGAAGAGAGACAAGAGGCAGAGATGGAGGAGAGACAAGAGGCAGAGATGGAGGAGAGACAAGAGGCAGAGATGGAGGAGAGACAAAGAGCAGAGATGGAAGAGAGACAAGAGGCAGAGATGGAAGAGAGACAAGAGGCAGAGATGGAGGAGAGACAAGAGGCAGAGATGGAAGAGAGACAAGAGGCAGAGATGGAGGAGAGACAAGAGGCAGAGATGGAGAGAGAGACAAGAGGCAGAGATGGAGGAGAGACAAGAGGCAGAGATGGAGGAGAGACAAGAGGCAGAGATGGAGGAGAGACAAGAGGCAGAGATGGAGGAGAGACAAGAGCAGAGATGGAGGAGAGACAAGAGGCAGAGATGGAGGAGAGACAAGAGGCAGAGATGGAAAGAGAGACAAGAGGCAGAGATGGAGGAGAGACAAGAGCAGAGATGGAAGAGAGACAAGAGCAGAGATGGAGGAGAGACAAGAGGCAGAGATGGAAGAGAGACAAGAGGCAGAGATGGAAGAGAGACAAGAGGCAGAGATGGAGGAGAGACAAGAGCAGAGATGGAGGAGAGACAAGAGGCAGAGATGGAAGAGAGACAAGAGGCAGAGATGGAGGAGAGACAAGAGGCAGAGATGGAAGAGAGACAAGAGGCAGAGATGGAGGAGAGACAAGAGCAGAGATGGAAGAGAGACAAGAGGCAGAGATGAGGAGAGACAAGAGGCAGAGATGGAGGAGAGACAAGAGGCAGAGATGGAGGAGAGACAAGAGGCAGAGATGGAAGAGAGACAAGAGGCAGAGATGGAGGAGAGACAAGAGGCAGAGATGAAGAGAGACAAGAGCAGAGATGGAGGAGAGACAAGAGGCAGAGATGGAGAGAGACAAGAGGCAGAGATGGAGAGAGACAAGAGCAGAGATGGAGGAGAGACAAGAGGCAGAGATGGAGGAGAGACAAGAGGCAGAGATGGAAGAGAGACAGAGGCAGAGATGGAAGAGAGACAAGAGGCAGAGATGGAGGAGAGACAAGAGCAGAGATGGAAGAGAGACAAGGGCAGAGTGGAGGAGAGACAAGAGGCAGAGATGGAAGAGAAAAGAGGCCAGAATGGAGAGAGACAAAGCAGAGATGGAGGAGAGACAAGAGGCAGAGATGGAAGGAGAGACAAGAGGCAGAGATGAAGAGAGACAAGAGAGCAAGATGGAAGAGAGACAAAGGCAGATGAGGAGAGACAAAGGCAGAGATGAAGAGAGACAAGAGGCAGAGATGGAGGAGAGACAAGAGCAGAGATGGAGGAGAGACAAGAGCAGAGATGGAAGAGAGACAAGAGGCAGAGATGGAGAGAGACAGAGGCAGAGATGGAAGAGAGACAAAGGCAGAATGGAGGAGAGACAAGAGGCAGAATGGAAGAAGACAAAGGCAGAGATGGAGGAGAGACAAAGCAGAGATGGAGGAGAGACAAGAGGCAGAATGGAAGAGAGACAAGAGGCAGAGATGGAGGAGAGACAAGAGGCAGAGATGGAAGAGAGACAAGAGGCAGAGATGGAAAGAGACAAAGGCAAGATGGAGGAAGACTAAGAGGCAGAAGATGGAGGAGAGACAAGAGGCAGAGATGGAGGAGAGACAAGAGGCAGAAGATGGAAAGAACAAGAGGCAGAGATGGAAGAGAGACAAGAGCAGAGATGGAAGAGAGACAAGAGCAGAGATGAGAGAGACAAGAGGCAGAGATGGAAGAGAGACAAGAGGCAGAGATGGAAGAGAGACAAGAGGCAGAGATGAAGAGAGACAAGAGGCAGAGATGGAGGAGAGACAAGAGGCAGAGATGGAGGAAGACAAGAGGCAGAGATGGAAGGAGACAAGAGGCAGAGATGGAAGAGAGACAAGAGGCAGAGAGGAAGAGAGACAAGACGCAGAGATGGAGAGAGACAAGAGGCAGAGATGGAAGAGAGACAAGAGCAGAGATGGAAGAGAGACAAGAGGCAGAGATGGAAGAGAGACAAGAGGCAGAGATGGAGGAGAGACAAGAGGCAGAGAGGAGGAGAGACAAAGGCAGAGATGGAAGAGAGACAAGAGGCAGAGATGGAAGAGAGAACAAGAGGCAAGATGGAAGAGAGACAAGAGGCAGAGATGGAAGAGAGACAAGAGGCAGAGATGGAAGAGAGACAAGAGGCAGAGATGGAAGAGAGACAAGAGGCAGAGATGGAAGAAAGACAAGAGGCAGAGATGGAGGAGAGACAAGAGGGCAGAGATGGAGGAGAGACAAGAGGCAGAGATGGAAGAGAGACAAGAGCAGAGATGGAAGAGAGACCAAGAGGCAGAGATGGAAGAGAGACAGAGGCAGAGATGGAAGAGAGACAAGAGGCAGAGATGGAAGAGAGACAAGAGCAGAGATGGAAGAGACAAGAGGAAGAGATTGAAGAGAGAACAAGAGGCAGAGATGGAAGAGAGACAAGATGGCAGAGATGGAAGAGAGACAAGAGGCAGAGATGGAGATAGAGACAAGAGGCAGAGATGGAAGAGAACAAGAGGAAAAGATGGAAGAGAGACAAGAGGCAGAGATGGAAGAGAGACAAGAGGCAGAGATGGAGAGAGACAAGAGGCAGAGATGGAGGAGAGACAGAGGGCGGAGATGGAGGAGAGACAAGAGGCAGAGATGGAAGAGAGACAAGAGGCAGAGATGGAGGAGAGCAAGAGGCAGAGATGGAAGAGAGACAAGAGGCAGAGATGGAGGAGAGACAAGAGGCGGAGATGGAGGAGAGACAAGAGGCAGAGATGGAAGAGAGACAAGAGGCAGAGATGGAGAGGACAAGAGGCAGAGATGGAGGAGAGACAAGAGGCAGAGATGGAGGAGAGACAAGAGGCAGAGATGGAGGAGAGACAAGAGGCGGAGATGGAGGAGAGACAAGAGGCAGAGATGGAAGAGAGACAAGAGGCAGAGATGGAGGAGAGACAAGAGGCAGAGATGGAGGAGAGACAAGAGGCAGAGATGGAGGAGAGACAAGAGGCAGAGATGGAGGAGAGACAAGAGGCAGAGATGGAGGAGAGACAAGAGGCAGAGATGGAGGAGAGACAAGAGGCAGAGATGGAGGAGAGACAAGAGGCAGAGATGGAAGAGAGACAAGAGGCAGAGATGGAAGAGAGACAAGAGGCAGAGATGGAAGAGAGACAAGAGGCAGAGATGGAGGAGAGACAAGAGCAGAGATGGAAGGAGAGACAAGAGGCAGAGATGGAAGAGAGACAAGAGGCAGAGATGGAAGAGAGACAAGAGGCAGAGATGGAAGAGAGACAAGAGGCAGAGATGGAGGAGAGACAAGAGGCAGAGATGGAAGAGAGACAAGAGCAGAGATGGAAGAGAGACAAGAGGCAGAGATGGAGGAGAGACAAGAGGCAGAGATGGAGGAGAGACAAGAGGCAGAGATGGAAGAGAGACAAGAGCAGAGATGGAAGAGAGACAAGAGGCAGAGATGGAAGAGAGACAAGAGGCAGAGATGGAGGAGAGACAAGAGGCAGAGATGGAGGAGAGACAAGAGGCAGAGATGGAAGAGAGACAAGAGGCAGAGATGGGAAGAGGAGACAAGAGGCAGAGATGGAGGAGAGACAAGAGGCAGAGATGGAGGAGAGACAAGAGGCAGAGATGGAAGAGAGACAAGAGGCAGAGATGGAAGAGAGACAAGAGGCAGAGATGGAAGAGAGACAAGAGCAGAGATGGAAGAGAGACAAGAGGCAGAGATGGAAGAGAGACAAGAGGCAGAGATGGAGGAGAGACAAGAGGCAGAGATGGAAGAGAGACAAGAGGCAGAGATGGAGGAGAGACAAGAGGCAGAGATGGAAGAGAGACAAGAGGCAGAGATGGAGGAGAGACAAGAGGCAGAGATGGAGGAGAGACAAGAGGCAGAGATGGAGAGAGACAAGAGGCAGAGATGGAGGAGAGACAAGAGGCAGAGATGGAAGAGAGACAAGAGGCAGATAATTATTTTATTATATTATATTATTCATGGATATACCACTAGACACGAAAGGGTCAAACAGCGCCTGGGGAATGAGAGGTAACCAGGTTTGATCCGAGGGGAATGCTCTTATTCCTCGGATCAAGATATCACTAGGGGAAGGGAGGGAAGGAGGAATAGGGAGATAATGAGAAAGAGGGGGTAAAGAATGGGAAATATGAAGGAAGACAGAGAAGGCGGGAGGTAAGGAACTTGCATCAGTGGTAGGATATTCTAGCAACATGTGACGGGTTCGGGATATTAGCAGTTTGGAGGGACATCTAGACTGTCGTATCTGAGCGCCTCTGCAAAGTCAGTGATTATGTGTGAGTGATGGTGAAAGTGTTGAATGATGATGAGTTTTATCTTTCTTTTTGGTTCACCCTTCCTCGGTGGGAAACGGCCGACGTGGTAAATAATAATAATAATAATAGTAATAATAATAATAATATTTTTATTTCTACACGTACATGTACAAGGTATACAGGCCTAGGTGACATCAATCATATACTACTATATAGAAAGTCGCTTGTTATGCAGAGCATTTCTCTCAGGATGCGACCCACACCAGTCAACTAAGACCAGGTACCTATTTTACTGACGGATGAATATGGATAGCTGGTGTGTTATAGAAACACCTTAATGTTTTCCAGCCGTACCGGGGTCGACCCCCAGACCTAAGTGTGTGAGCTGAGTGCGCTAGCAATCGAGAAATGCCATTTATGGCATTTCGTTGAGAGAACGTTTCATTTACCAGAGATTTTATCAAACCCTGGTGGACGAAACGTCTTAATAAATGCCATAAACAGTATATTGCGTGTTAGTAAAGAGGAACTTACAGTGCAGACAGCAGCGACGCAGAAAGCAGGGAGGGAGGAGGCTGACTGACACACTGTGCCGTCAGGAAAGCTCTTGCCTGACGCCTCCACTCCTCGTCCTGTGGTCTCACATTCAACCTCACACTGAGTCAACCCTGGAGCAGCAAACAATTAATGTTATACACATTATTTAATAAGTCTTGCCTTCGTTTTCTTCCACTTTTCTCGTGACACATTCGTAGGATGTTGTTTAACTAAGAACATTATCAAATTATTTAAGAAAAGTTGAACTCAAAATTTTGTTACTAATAATGATCATTAAAAAATCAGTATATGGACATAACTAGCAACGGAAGGTAATTAAGGCAGTAGTTCCCAAAGGCAGCGGCGCTCGACGCAGCTGCGGCCAGAGAAGATGACTAGTGTGGCGGGAAGATTCATGGACAATCAAAGAAACATTTAAATATTCATGTAGAAACCCGTAGAATCTTCCCGTCACACTTGCCATCCTCTCGCGCCGCTCCCTTTGGGAACCAGTTACTTAAGAAGATGAGCATTAAGATGAGGAGTTAAGCGGATTTTGTTTAAAAAACAAAAATAAAATTAATCATCAGTGTCCAGCTACACTACTATGTATATGAGCTAGTAGTTACATAGTGGAAAAAACTAGCTACAATGTCCTCTCGTACTCCATCACACTGGATGGGTTTTATGCATATAGTGATGAGCTCCCAGCATGAGCTGGGAGACCTAAGGACGTGAGGTGTTTGGGAATCTTGGAGGGAGTAGGTACTCTTCCAAAGTGTGGACTCTGGAAGGTAGTGGAGGAGGCTTTGAGTGAGTGGGGATGAACTGTGGGATATGAAAGCGTGTGGGAGAAGGAGTGAGGATGTTACCTTCTGGAGGCACTTTGGCCCCTAGCCCCGTTAGGTATGCGGAATTCTTGGCTCGAATCCTGCAGGTGTCGTCAGCGAAGTCCTGCAGGGTCCTGCGCTGCCCTTTACTGCACTCCTGCACCTCAGAACACAGCCGGTACCGGTACTCTCCGCGACACGACCTTGAACTGCAGTCAGAGGAACGTGAAACACAGATAAAGGAGAGAGAGAAAACATGGAAAGATAAGACAAGTGTTAATGTCAGGGCTGGCTATAGTACAACCTAAACTATCATCTATTACACTGCTGCAGATAATACTTGGTAACACAAGATGAGGATACAACAGTAACACAAGATGAGGATACAACAGTAACACAAGATGATGATACAACAGTAACACAAGATGATGATACAGCAGTAACACAAGATGATGATACAGCAGTAACACAAGATGATGATACAGCAGTAACACAAGATGATACAGCAGTAAGACAAGATGATGATACAGCAGTAACACAAGATGATGATACAACAGTAACACAAGATGATGATACAGCAGTAACACAAGATGATGATACAGCAGTAACAAAAGATGATGATACAGCAGTAACAAAAGATGATGATACAGCAGTAACACAAAATGATGATACAGCAGTAACAAAAGATGATGATACAGCAGTAACAAAAGATGATGATACAGCAGTAACAAAAGATGATGATACAGCAGTAACAAAAGATGATGATACAGCAGTAACAAAAGATGATGATACAGCAGTAACAAAAGATGATGATACAGCAGTAACAAAAGATGATGATACAGCAGTAACAAAAGATGATGATACAACAGTAACACAAGATGATGATACAGCAGTAACACAAGATGATGATACAGCAGTAACACAAGATGATGATACAGCAGTAACACAAGATGATGACACAGCAGTAACACAAGATGATGATACAGCAGTAACACAAGATGATGATACAGCAGTAACACAAGATGATGATACAGCAGTAACACAAGATGATGATACAGCAGTAACACAAGATGATACAGCAGTAACACAAGATGATGATACAGCAGTAACGCAAGATGATGATACAGCAGTAACACAAGATGATGATACAGCAGTAACAAGATGATGATACAGCAGTAACACAAGATGATGATACAGCAGTAACACAAGATGATGATACAGCAGTAACACAAGATGATGATACAGCAGTAACAAGATGATGATACAGCAGTAACACAAGATGATGATACAGCAGTAACACAAGATGATGATACAGCAGTAACAAGATGATGATACAACAGTAACACAAGATGATGATACAGCAGTAACACAGATGATGATACAGCAGTAACAAGATGATGATACAGCAGTAACACAAGATGATGATACAGCAGTAACACAAGATGATGATACAGCAGTAACACAAGAAGACACAACAGTAACACAAGATGATGATACAGCAGTAACACAAGATGATGATACAGCAGTAACACAAGATGATGATACAACAGTAACACAAGATGATGATACAGCAGTAACAAGATGATGATACAACAGTAACACAAGATGATACAGCAGTAACACAAGATGATGATACAGCAGTAACACAAGATGATGATACAGCAGTAACACAAGATGATGACACAGCAGTACACAAGAATGATGATACAACAGTAACACAAGATGATACAGCAGTAACACAAGATGATGATACAGCAGTAACACAAGATGATGATACAACAGTAACACAACATGATGATACAGCAGTAACAAGATGATGATACAACAGTAACACAAGATGATACAGCAGTAACACAAGATGATGATACAGCAGTAACACAAGATGATGATACAGCAGTAACACAAGATGATGACACAGCAGTAACACAAGATGATGATACAGCAGTAACACAAGATGATGATACAGCAGTAACACAAGATGATGATACAGCAGTAACACAAGATGATGATACAACAGTAACACAAGATGATGATACAGCAGTAACACAAGATGATGATACAGCAGTAACACAAGATGATGACACAACAGTAACACAAGATGATGATACAGCAGTAACACAAGAAGACACAACAGTAACACAAGATGATGATACAGCAGTAACACAAGATGATACAGCAGTAACACAAGATGATGATACAGCAGTAACACAAGATGATGATACAGCAGTAACACAAGATGATGATACAGCAGTAACACAAGATGATGATACAGCAGTAACACAAGATGATGATACAGCAGTAACACAAGATGATGATACAGCAGTAACACAAGATGATGATACAACAGTAACACAAGATGATGATACAGCAGTAACACAAGATGATGATACAGCAGTAACACAAGATGATGATACAACAGTAACACAAGATGATGATACAGCAGTAACACAAGATGATGACACAACAGTAACACAAGATGATGATACAGCAGTAACACAAGATGATGATACAGCAGTAACACAAGATGATGATACAACAGTAACACAAGATGATGATACAGCAGTAACAAGATGATGATACAGCAGTAACACAAGATGATGATACAGCAGTAACACAAGATGATGATACAGCAGTAACAAGATGATACAGCAGTAACACAAGATGATGATACAGCAGTAACACAAGATGATACAGCAGTAACACAAGATGATGATACAGCAGTAACACAAGATGATGATACAGCAGTAACAAGATGATACAGCAGTAACAAGATGATACAGCAGTAACACAAGATGATGATACAGCAGTAACAAGATGATACAGCAGTAACACAAGATGATGATACAGCAGTAACACAAGATGATGATACAACAGTAACACAAGATGATGATACAACAGTAACACAAGATGATGATACAGCAGTAACACAAGATGATGATACAGCAGTAACACAAGACGATGATACAGCAGTAACAAGATCATACAGCAGTAACACAAGATGATGATACAACAGTAACACAAGATGATGATACAACAGTAACACAAGATGATGATACAGCAGTAACACAAGATGATGATACAGCAGTAACACAAGATGATGATACAGCAGTAACACAAGATGATGATACAGCAGTAACACAAGATGATGATACAGCAGTAACACAAGATGATGATACAGCAGTAACACAAGATGATGATACAGCAGTAACACAAGATGATGATACAGCAGTAACACAAGATGATGATACAACAGTAACACAAGATGATGATACAGCAGTAACACAAGATGATGATACAACAGTAACACAAGATGATGATACAGCAGTAACAAGATGATGATACAGCAGTAACACAAGATGATGATACAACAGTAACACAAGATGATGATACAGCAGTAACAAGATGATGATACAGCAGTAACACAAGATGATGATACAGCAGTAACAAGATGATACAGCAGTAACACAAGATGATGATACAGCAGTAACACAAGATGATGATACAGCAGTAACACAAGATGATGATACAGCAGTAACACAAGATGATGACACAACAGTAACACAAGATGATGATACAGCAGTAACACAAGATGATGATACAGCAGTAACACAAGATGATGACACAACAGTAACACAAGATGATGATACAGCAGTAACACAAGATGATGATACAGCAGTAACACAAGATGATGACACAGCAGTAACACAAGATGATGATACAACAGTAACACAAGATGATACAGCAGTAACACATGATGATGATACAGCAGTAACACAAGATGATGATACAGCAGTAACACAAGATGATGACACAGCAGTAACACAAGATGATGATACAGCAGTAACACAAGATGATGATACAGCAGTAACAAGATGATGATACAACAGTAACACAAGATGATGATACAGCAGTAACACATGATGATGATACAGCAGTAACACAAGATGATGATACAGCAGTAACACAAGATGATGACACAGCAGTAACACAAGATGATGATACAGCAGTAACACAAGATTATGATACAACAGTAACACAAGATGATGATACAACAGTAACACAAGATGATGATACAGCAGTAACAAGATGATGATACAGCAGTAACACAAGATGATGATACAGCAGTAACACAAGATGATGATACAACAGTAACACAAGATGATGATACAGCAGTAACAAGATGATGATACAGCAGTAACACAAGATGATACAGCAGTAACACAAGATGATGATACAGCAGTAACACAAGATGATGATACAGCAGTAACACAAGATGATGATACAGCAGTAACAAGAGGATGATACAGCAGTAACACAAGATGATACAGCAGTAACACAAGATGATGATACAGCAGTAACACAAGATGATGATACAGCAGTAACAAGATGATGATACAGCAGTAACACAAGATGATACAGCAGTAACACAAGATGATGATACAGCAGTAACACAAGATGATGATACAGCAGTAACAAGATGATGATACAACAGTAACACAAGATGATGATACAGCAGTAACAAGATGATGATACAGCAGTAACACAAGATGATACAGCAGTAACACAAGATGATGATACAGCAGTAACACAAGATGATACAGCAGTAACACAAGATGATGATACAGCAGTAACACAAGATGATGATACAGCAGTAACACAAGATGATGATACAACAGTAACACAAGATGATGATACAGCAGTAACACAAGATGATGATACAGCAGTAACACAAGATGATGATACAGCAGTAACACAAGATGATGATACAGCAGTAACACTAAGATGATGATACAGCAGTAAACACAAGATGATGATACAGCAGTAACACAAGATGATGACATAGCAGTAACACAAGATGATGATACAACAGTAACACAAGATGATACAGCAGTAACACATGATGATGATACAGCAGTAACACAAGATGATGATACAGCAGTAACACAAGATGATGATACAGCAGTAACACAAGATGATGATACAGCAGTAACACAAGATGATGATACAGCAGTAACACAAGATGATGACACAGCAGTAACACAAGATGATGATACAGCAGTAACACAAGATGATGATACAGCAGTAACAAGATGATGATACAACAGTAACACAAGATGATGATACAGCAGTAACACATGATGATGATACAGCAGTAACACAAGATGATGATACAGCAGTAACACAAGATGATGACACAGCAGTAACACAA